TTTGTGTAATAGGTAGTTCTGGAATTATTATATCTTTATTAGCTATTTGTAAATCAGCTAAAATTAGTACAGCAGTTTCTGGAAGATTAGATAAATTAATCTCAACAGTATCTATATTTCCCTTAGATTGTAGATCTCCCTTTGTTTGTTTTTTTATATCAATTCAATACTCTGGTATTCTTACAAAGTAGAATTCTTCTCTTAACAGCTATGTAGTATCTGTTAGTAGTTTTGGTAATGTAATTGGAGTAGTAATATTGAATTGAGAGATCTCATCTAGTGAGTCGAGAAGTCAAAACTTGTCAGTAGAATTAGCAATCATAATCTTAGAATTAATTAGATATATAATATTATATATTCTCTTGGTTTCTTCAATAAACTTCCTTGCTTAAATATTATCAATAATAGAATATTTGAAAGTTGAAGTTGTTTTGATTTTGGTTAAATTATTAGGTAGTCTTAGTTTGATCTTGAAGAAATCATTAGGAATCTACTGGAATTTGTATAGCTCTTTTAATTTTTGTATAATTTTTTTGAGACTTAGGTATGAGTTAGATAAGTCAATTGGAAATAGACCTCAGACTTGCTAATTTAGCTCGTGATATGTTAAAGATAATTTTGGTTTAGATTTTGGCAAATTAAAAAAACTTTCAGGTATCTTGTCAAAGTTGTAGTAGTCATGAAGAATCTGGTTATAGTATCTCAGATTATTAAGCTCTTTGAAGTCTGTTATTAGAAACAGATATTTGATCTTTGAGTTTAGTTCTTCTAAAGTAGATAGAAGTTTTTCAAGTTGTATGAAATAGGTATCTAGTAATTGCTTAAAATTGTATACCCGATGTAGAACTAAGACTATAGCCCATGTTTGTGATTTCTTTTTAATTAGTAGATCGAAAAGTAGGATTTCTTTAATTCCTTGACTTATTAGATTAGGGCTTTCTAGTAAAGAAATAAGTTAGGAATTAATTGCTTTTTGAACAGCTTTGTGAATTTTAGATTTTTCTTGAAGAGAAATATTTTTAATAAACTTCTTATAGTACTTGATTAAACTAGTTATTTGATTTATATCTTTGGACAAAAATGTTGTGTTAGTAATGAAGTCTATTACTAGTTTTTAGTGAAGTTTGATATGAATTAGATCTCAAGTCTCTCTGTTCATAATTGTAAGATCATGCATCTGTTTATACTTCTCTAATGCTTGGTTGAATAAGTTTTTATATTCAATTTGATGCTGACTCTTGTATTTCTTCATTCGAGTAAAAGTAATGAAAAATCTAATATCTCGATAATAAAATTTAGTATATATTGCTAATGATATAAGATGTCTTGTTGGAAGAGTATTTAACTTATAGATTACTAGTTCTGTAATTCTAATAGTTGTAGTAAGTGCTTCCAAGATACGATCATAGTGCCAAGTTGTGTTATTAAACTCATCTTTAACTTTGGCTTGAATTGCATTATCTATATCTATTAGCTAGTTATTAGTTTCTTCTTATTGCAATAGATTAAATAATTCTGAGTTCTTGCTCATATATCCTCTGACTATACTACTATATAATAACAAACTAGTTTGTATTGTAGAAGCAATACTGTAACCTGTAGTATTATCAGCCTCAAGTACCTGATCTTGTATTGCATGATCTGTTTCTAAATTAGAAGTTGTATGATTAGTTTCTATATTTGCACGTGTTTGTTTATTTATTTCAAAATTTTTTACGTGATCTGTTGTTGTTGTATTTTGTATTAAATAAAATATAATACTATCACTAGACAGAAGTAAACTAAATTGCCTACTTTTTGTTAAATTATTTTCATTAGAGTTTGTAGAAGATGATAATTTTTAACATTTTAAGAATTTAGAATTATAACTTGTTTCAAAAGTAGGTTCTGAATTTGGTTCTCTTCTAGTAGTCATATTTTGATATTAACTTAAGTAGTCTTCTGGCCCTGAAGCCTTTTTTTCTGTTAAAAGTTATTGTTAACTTTTGTTGTTTCAGTAGCTTCTTTGTCTTTTTAGAATTTTTTTAGATATGTTAAGCTATAGATTATATAACTATAGTCTTACTACTCTATTTATGAGTAGATAATATTTAAAGCAAAAATACTTATTAGTAATAGTATAATACAAAATAATTTTGTGAATATATTTATTTTGTTTTTTATATGTAAAAAAGGATATATAGAAAAGAGTTTATGCCAAAATTGTAACTACTGTATCTTGATACACTATCTATATACTTTTCCTAAGCTTTGTTTATTAAGAGCTCTACTTCTGAGCTTTTGAATTTGTTTTCTTTAGCAAAAATCCAGAAGCTTAGGAATTTTAAATTGTTTTTTAGTACAAATTTGTCTTGATATTCACTTATATTAGATTTATTTATTTCTATAATATCAAATCTTTGTTCATTTGCTATTCTGCTAGTAAATCTACTTTTGCATTATTACTTTTAATCCTATTAATATTATGAGTTGCTATCTTAATTATTCTAAAGTTTGTATCTGCTTCTTGTATTGCTACTCTTTTTAATTATCTCTTATTTCTCCTTATACTATGCTTTTGCTTTTAATTTTTTAAATATTTTGTTCTTTGCTTATTTTTAAGTTTTCTTTCTTGAGAAATCTGGACATACTGTAATTCAACTAGTGCTATAATTTAAGAGTAATCAGAAGTCCTTTGACTCCTATATCTGTTCCTACTTTTGAAAGAGTATTCTTTTTTTTTGCAAATATAAACAAACTCCTTAGAACTTCTCTTATACTTAAACTATTACTTTTACCATATTGAAATCCTTTATATCTCAAAGACTGCTGATTTCTTTTATTTCTATTTCTGTAATTGTTTGTTCTAAATACACTACTTTGTTCTGAAAACTCTGAGCTAATATTATCTGTGTTTGAGAGTGTACTTCTTTCTAATTTATTTTTCTACTCACTCTCATAACTATTGCATTTTGTATAATCTTCTTGTGATATTAACTCTCTTTCTTTATATACTTGCTTTTTACATATATATTTTAAACAGCCTTCACCTGAATTTTGCTCTATTTCCTTACTCTTCCTTAAACTTTTAGCACTTAACTTTTGCACTACATCTAGTACTACTTTACTTGTTTTAATGTACTCCTTCTCTTCAGAGTTGTTACTTTTTTTTTTTTACCTTTAGCAGTCACACTAATACTTTATTAGATCTTTGAAACTATACAGATTTCAATGAGTTTAACTAATTTTCTAAGTTTAGCATTACCTGGTTCTCATATAGGGTCTAAGTATGATCTGCTGCATTATCTACAATAGAGATAAACTGCCTCGTCTAACTGCTGCTCTACAATAGGATACTGCTAATCTGATGATATTGTCACATCTATAATTTTCTATTTCTCTATTTTTCTTTTATTTTATTTTTAGTTTTATTATTTGATTTAGTATTTTTATAGTATATTTGTTATAGTTTTTATTT